AGTACAGATTCTTTGCCTCTTTGGTTAGATTTATTCCTAGGTGTCTTATGGTTGGTTGCAATTGTAAATGGGATCGACTCCTTAATTTCTCTTTCTTCTGTCTTGTTGTTGGTGCATAGAAATGCCGCTGATTCCTGTGGATTGATTTTATATGCTGCCACTTTACTGAATTAACAGGGCTCACTCTTGACAACTGAGGCCCACCAGTCAGGGCTGCCATCCTTCCTTCCATACATCACCTCTGCTTGGGTTACAGATGCCCCTTTGTACCCCTGTCCACTTCAGAACACTCCTTGGCACTCAGTTTCCCCCTGGCCCAATGGGATAGAAGTGGGGAGGGAAATGGGAGCAAGTCCCCAGGCCTTCCACATTGCTAAGGACCACTTTGATTCTATGACTTGATTCACATATCTTGTAGTCTGTATGCGGCCACTTTGCTGACGGGGAGGGAAGGAGCTGGCTGAGGGCTGAGTGCCTTCATGTACAGGTGTCCAAAATGCCCAAAAAACTAGGTCCTGCACAGCGGTTCTCCCCTAGTAAAGACTGTGCCCACTCCCCCAAATATTTCCTGTCCATTCTAATGGCAGGGCTGTTTAGAAAATTAACCCAAATGGTCATATTTGCCAAGCCTGGGTGCTGGTGTCAGAGTCCAAAGGAACATCCCCTGAGGTGTCTTGAAAGGGATGCATCTGACCTGGGTCCAGTGGCCTGCACGCCTCCAAATGGCCTCCTAACTGGTCTTCCTGCCCATGACCTCTCCATGACCCTCTAGCCCCGGGCTTACCAACAGTTGGCCAAAGACACGTTTTTGTGTCTGGTTTTTGGCTGGCGTAGTGTTGGCTGCCTCTAAAATTCAGGAGATGTCACATAAAAGTGAAGGTTTCCCACTTCCCTTACGAAATAGGAAAGCCTGGCGACCCTGGGTCCCATTCCCACAGGCCATAGGTGGTGCACTTTAAATAGGGGCCTTTGCTCCGTACCCCGAACTGAATACACACCTCTGTCATGGCACAAATTACCCCTGTAATGTAATCATTGCTTTGTCTCTTTCTCCCACACTACATACTGTTGAATCTCGCTGCCACACAGCATGTCAGCTTTGACTTCGAAACCCTAATGCATCCAGTTGGTGCAGGAGAAGGTGCTTGGACCGGGGGGTCAGGCAGCCCTGATTTGATATCTCAGCCTTGCTGCTTATCAACTTGGCCAAGTTCCTTAACCTCTCTGATGCTCAGTTTCCATATCTATAAATTGAAACTAATAATTCCTACCTTGTGGGATTGCTGTGGGGATTAGAAATATTGGGTATAAAATGCCTAGCGCAGTGGCTGGTACCTAGCAGGTACTCGCTCAATCACTGGCAGGTCCTATCCCAAATAAATGAATCTGGACAAACACAGCAGACTTTTTTTTTAAATTATTTTTTTAAAGATTTTATTTATTTATTTTTGAGAGAGTGAGTGAGCAGGAGCACAAGCAGGGGGAAGGGTAGAGGGAGAAGCAGACTCCCCGCTGAGCAGGGAGCCTGACATGGCGCTCTATCCCAGAACCCCGGGATCATGATCCCAGAACCCCAGGATCATGACCTGAGCCGAAGGCAGATGCTTAATGGACTGACCCACCCAGGTGCCCTGAAACACAGCACACTTAGGAAACAACCCATCTAAAGTGTGCCTGGGTGGAACAAAGCGAAAGCAGGGAAAGGAAGGAAAGAGTATATATACACAGCGTCCAGGCAATTAGGACAGTGCTGGAGGCACTTTAAGTTTGATTTTTTTTCCCTCTAAACACCTGACAACGTTCAGTGGAAGACTTAAATATCAGCCGGCAGAAGCCTGCAAATGCTAGGCGGCTCTGTATATAGGATAATGAATATAAGATAATCTTAGCTAATTACTGTTTACTGGCAAATGTCATACCACTGGCTTCTTAAGTGTGTATGTGAGGCTTGGTTTGGTTTTGTTTTCGCATGTGTGAATGTCGGTGGGTGGGCAAGCGTGTGTACAGACCTACGCCATGGGAACCCTACGGATAGCGGCTCAGCAGACGGTAAGGATGGCTGCTCCCCACGCAGCTGTACTCGTGAGTGCACCCTAGCTAGCTGGCATCCGGGTTATCTCCAAACTGCAAGCTCCCAGAGGCCTGGGCCTGTGTCAGTCAGGTCTGTTTTCCCTGCACATGGTATATAGTACTGGTACCTAGCAGGTGTTCAGTAAATATTTGTTAAGTAGATAAATGGATAATTTGGGCGTCGACTCTCTCGTCTCCCTGATCTCACTTCCTGTCCTTTCCCTCAGTTTTCTAGATTTGCTGTTCCTTTCCTCCGCCTCTTATAGATACTTGCTGTTACCTTATTTCTTAGGCTTTCCTGACACCCCCCACCCCATTTACAGCTGAAAAACTCACCCCCATATCAGCATTCAGTGCTGTTCTCCTGATTTGCATGTCCCTGTAGGACTTGTTACCACCTCGATTTTATTCACCGCCCAACTCTCCCTGGGAGAGTGAAGGCATAGTTACACAGTTTGCCGCTGTGTTCCTAGTAGACCACTGCCTGCTTTAGAGTAGGTGCTTAAAAATATTTGCTGAGTGAACTGTGTGGCAAACTATAGTGTATAGGTATGTGCCTTTGCATCAACCTAAAAATGTAAGCTGTATATTCTGAGCATCCTAACTTTGCCATCGATCTATGACCCACACGTCATTGACTAATCACTTCTTGCGATTGAGACTTCATTTGTCCCTCTTCCACTCTGTATTCTTCGTAGTCACTAGGATTTCAAAAAGGGGGAATGTCAAGATTCTTCTGAGTCCCTCAGTGATTTAGGGGAAGTGATTTGTACTTTTATTGGTCTTGGGCAGAACAGGACAGTCATGATATTAGAAGTGTAAAACAATAAGTAACGTGGCTATTTGTACTTGAAAGTAGTAAAATATTGAATTGCAGATTTCACCTGTTTGTAAAAAGGACAAACAGTAACGAGAGGGCTCCGACCATTTGCAAAAGCTGTTTTTCTTTCAAATGTTGTCTAAGAAGGCCCAGTGTAATGAAGGAGCGCTGGGGTGGGAAGGGGTCCCTCAGCCTCCCAGGCTGTAAAATGGGCAGACCTCTCAGCTCTAACGAGCTGTAAAAGTCTATGGAAGCTCTTGGAGATAAAGCCACGGAACTTTTCATGTCCATCTACTCATATTTCATGCTTGTTACAACTGACTTAACATACCAAGAACAATTATTATAAATTGATAGACATATAAACTTTCATAGTTTATTTATTTCCAATTAAATGGAAATGTTTTTAATATCACTAAGATTTAAAAATGTGAAACTATCTAAGGACGCTTATAAACCTTAAAGGGCCATTATACTAACTACATTTAAATTTGATTCATGAAGGGACTGATTATCCAGTTTGTGAACATGTAAGCCCCCGGTAGCTCTCTTCCCATTCTTCCCAAAGAATTCAAAACTCCAGTTTGTGAGTAGTTTATAAGCTCCAAGGACATGATAACCAAAGGCTAAATGAGTTTTTAGCACTACTTGGAAGTTCCTATTTTGGGTGCCTTCTACCGCCACTAACTTTAAGAATTACCAGTACTGTACAGAGTCCATTAACTGAAACTCTAATCATTTCACAAATGTTAATATTTCATCTTTATAAAGACTGCATGGTAAAACACATGCTTCTTAAAAAGCTGTGGAGGAGAAACTTTAAAAATGAAATTTATTAATCGGTTAAATCACACTAGCCTATGGGACAGTGTTCATATTGTTCCAATTTCAAATTAACATTGGGGCAGCGTTACTGTGCCAGCTATAAAGCACCAAGTAGTGGGTAAAACTGACCTCCTTAGTCAGAGATACTGGAACACTGGCTAGTCACTGTGCAGATTTTCTGGGGTTTAAGATGTGCCCCTCTATCACAAATCTAAATTCTGGCATCCCTGTGCAAAACCTCAAGAGCATGCCTTTTATTTAGTAAAGAGAAAAATTAAACTTCTATTAAAACATGCCAAAATAACAGATTTCTTTTCAAGAGTGATCTTTTTTTTTTTTAAACAAAATCCCAGCCCTTTGTCATGAGCTTTTATTAGTTTCAGCATGATTTATTCAGGAGTATTTCTACGGGATTAGGAGCAGAAGCAGAGTGTATGATCTGGCTGGGTCTCATTGTTAGGTATTGGGACGTCCTGACTGGATGGCCAGGTCCTAAATTGGACGGCATTAATCTTGCAGAGGTCTGTCTCTCTGGGTAGGTAAACTCAGAAATAACATTCTGATGCTTATTTAACTTCTTTGGCTCTCAGCGGCATGAGAGCAGCGGCCCCGAGGAGGCTTGCCCAGCACGTCTTTGCAGCATGGAGTAGAGAGGATCACGCTCCCGAAGCCAGCCCTGCATCAGGGGTCGGGGAAGAGACAAAAGAGATGCTCTGCTCTCGCCCTTCCCGAACTTAAAATCCAGTGCGCAAGGCAGGACTTAGGAAAATTAAACCAAATATGAAGTGGAAGAAACCCCCCCGCGTACAGTAACTGCCAATTTGTGCCGCACAAATCAACATGGAAATAAGATTTAAAGGAGTTTTAAACAAATAGCTGGAGAGAGGAAGGCAAATCTAAGATGGAAGAAAAGGTGGAGGGCTCGAGTGGAACATGCCAAGTCGAGGCCTGCACGCCCCTGGGTGAATCCGGCCTCCAGGCTGGAGAGGCAAAGAGCAAGCCGAGTGCTGCCACCAGAGAACTGGAAAAACCAACAGAGGCTGCAGTGGATCGGTTTAACTGAAAGGCGGTTTCCTTCTCCTCCATTTGCTCGGTCCCAATTGGAAGCGCACTGCGCGGCCTGCGCCGCGCTCTCGGCGGGTTCGGCGTGGGGGCGGGGAGGGAAGTACGGTAATGGGCGGGGCGGGGAGCGGGCGCGCTCCGGCTTTCCTCCTGCGCAGCGCTCCCGTCAGGGCAGGGGGCGGGGCGGCTATATTACGTGCGCGGCGCCGCCCCTGCGAGAGGACGTTGCGTGCTCGCTCGCGCCAGGCGAGTCTCCGCGTCTCCCTCGCGAACTCGGTGAAAGGAATTGGCGCCGTTCGACACCAGGCGGGTCCGCTCTGCAGCACGAACCCACCTCCAGCCGCAGCCGCAGCCGCCGCCCGGGCCGAGGAGCAGCCGCAGCAGCCGCCACCAGTGGCCGAGTGAGCGGAGCCGAGTTTGAGCCAGCGCCTAGCGGTGAATCGGGGCCCTCACCATGAGTTCCTCGCCTGTTAATGTAAAAAAGCTGAAGGTCTCGGAGCTGAAAGAGGAGCTCAAGAAGCGGCGCCTTTCCGACAAGGGCCTCAAGGCCGAGCTCATGGAGCGACTCCAGGCCGCACTGGACGACGAGGAGGCCGGGGGCCGCCCCGCCATGGAGCCCGGGAACGGCAGCCTAGACCTGGGCGGGGATTCCGCCGGGCGCTCGGGAGCAGGCCTCGAGCAGGAGGCCGCGGCCGGCGGCGACGAGGAAGAGGAAGAGGAGGAAGAGGAGGAGGAAGGGATCGCCGCCCTGGATGGCGACCAGATGGAGCTAGGGGAGGAGAACGGGGCCGCGGGGGCGGCCGACGCGGGCCCGATGGAGGAGGAGGAGGCCGCCTCGGAAGACGAGAACGGCGACGATCAGGGCTTCCAGGAAGGGGAGGATGAGCTCGGTGACGAGGAGGAAGGCGCGGGCGACGAGAACGGGCACGGGGAGCAGCAGCCTCAACCGCCGGCGACGCCGCAGCAACAGCCCCCACAGCAGCGCGGGGCCGCCAAGGAGGCCGCGGGGAAGAGCAGCGGCCCCACCTCGCTGTTCGCGGTGACGGTGGCGCCGCCCGGGGCGAGGCAGGGCCAGCAGCAGGCGGGAGGTAAGAAGAAGGCGGAAGGCGGCGGAGGCGGCGGTCGCCCCGGGGCTCCGGCGGCGGGTGAGTGCTGCGTTGTACGTTGCGCGCGGCGGGAGGCCCGCGCGGGGTGGGGACCGTGCCCCAGGCCTGCCGGAGCCCCGCCGGGGGGAGGGAGCCCCGGGCGGGGGCCGCCGCGGGGGAGGCGCGGGAGGGGGGAGGGGGCGCGGGGAATCCCGCCCGCCCTCTGAGGCTTCGGCGGCCTCGGGTTCAGCGTGTGCGACGGTGGCGGCGGCGCCTCCATTATGTGGCTGGAGAGCCGGGGGGGAGCTGCAGCTGCCGCTGGAGGGGGAGGAGCCGCGGGCGGGCGGCGGGCGGGAGCCCCGTCGGCTCGCGGTGGCGCCGCCGCGCTGCGTGCGCGCGGTGCGGGCACATGTCTCGGGGGGAGGGGAGAGGCCCGAGGGCCCGGGGCGGGCGCGCTTTGGCGGCGCTGGGCCGCGGTATTGTGCAAGGAGCCCAGGGGCTCGGCGTGACGTCACTTCCGGCGGGAGGGGCCGGGCGGGGAGAGCGGGGCGGAAGATCAGTACAATGCGGCCGCGGGGAACGCGGGCCCGGGTGGGGGAGGGGCGGGGAGGGCGCGCGGGCCGACCCGGCCCCTCCCCCCTTCCTGAACTCTCTTCGGGATACACGTGGGCTCGGGGCCTGGGCCGCGCTGGTCTCCAGGAGCTTTCTCGAACCTTCGAGTAGGCTGGCAAAATTAGGAATGTCTTTGGAGTGCGTCACTAACTCCAGGCCGGTTCCAAGTTGATTGTTCTTTGAATTCGCGTTGGATTCGTCGATTGAAAGCGCTTACAAAAAAGAACGGGAGAGTCGGGCTTTTTGCGTCCACAAACAGGAGGGGGATTCCGCCCCCCCCCGTTGTGTCGCGGCTTGGCCCCTTATGTTAGGGGTGTTGTGTGTTATAGGAGACGGCAAAACAGAGCAGAAAGGCGGAGATAAAAAGAGAGGGGTGAAAAGACCTCGAGAAGATCATGGCCGTGGATATTTTGAGTACATTGAAGAGAACAAGTATAGCAGGTAGAGGATGCCGATCTAGTTTTACCCGTCCCCATTCTTTCCTGGGTAGGAAAAGCTGAATCAGGAGACAATTCTGTCTTTCAGAGCCAAATCTCCTCAGCCACCTGTTGAAGAAGAAGATGAGCACTTCGATGACACAGTGGTTTGTCTTGATACTTGTAAGTGAAGCTGTTTCTTCCCTTTCCTCCCCCAGTTACTAAATGTGGCGATTTTGGTTCCAAAATGTTAGAGAACTTAACGCAGTGTGCTGAACTTAAATGCAGAAAACTTAGCGTAAACCGTTTCTCGTAAAAGCAGGGAGACGATGGGTTGAATTCAGAATCTGGTAGCTAAGTGTTTAGTATAGCATCCGTTGTGTCGGATTGATAATTTTACAGGCTCCAGCAGTTTGGTGGTATTTTTTATGACTAGAAAGTTTGCATTTGTAGGAATGTAAAATTAATGCCAATTTTGGGTTTAGTCAGCTAATGGAAACTTGTAAGATTACCTGTAACTTGTCCTTATAGGCTCCTACAATAAAGTAATTTCATTTTTTTGATAGAATTAAGTGAGCTATTTGGGCTAGTTAATATGTATTAATGACTTTTCCCATTAGCACACAAGTATATTCCCTATTCTAAAAGATTGTAATATTACTTTTTCAATAACTGCTCTTTTGTTCTCAATTCCAGTTCAGTAGCTGCTGCTTTAACATAAGTTGATTTCTTCCAAAGACCTGGGGCAGCAGCAGTGGGCTATCACTGGGCTACTAGCTTTCTTCAGCAGCGAATGGTATCAATGGCAGCGCTGTAAACACTGCTACTTTACCCAGTTGGGTTGCAATTGAGTATGAGGAAGTGTTGCAAACCTCTAAATGGGCCTTGGCTGTCAGATGTGTGGTTTTGTATAAAAACATTTTGTTGGTTTAGTATTTCATCAGAATGCACAGTTTTTTTCACTTTGATAAATAGAACAAAGTGTAGAAATAATTGCTTGAAAAGTAGGTGGTAAGGTGTGAACCGGCCATAGATCTAGGAAGTTAAAAGTTTAGATTTCTACGTTTTTGGATACAAATTACTTGTAATTAGGTTTGTGAGACTGTAAATGTTAACTCTTATTTCTAATTAAATATCCTTTACAGGTAGTTGAGCTAAGGGAGTCTTTTAAAAGAAAAAAACTGCACGTGGAAAAATAGTTAACTTGAGAATTTTAAATAGTTGGGTTGCTTAAATACAAACTAAGTTGGAATTGGCAAGGTAGTGAAGTAATGATTCCAGAAGTTAACATTTATTCAAAGTAGATGGGCTTTTAGCTGATTACCTAGGAACGTCAACTCATGTATTGCTATCTATATTGGGTTCAAACATAGTTGTTGAGTCGAAAATTCTACCAGTGATAGGAATTTTGAGAGTAAAGCTTATTTAAGGAGAATTCCAAACTGTAAATCTAATTTCCTTTCATCAATAAAAATTTAAGAAAACAGCTTTTTAATTTGAGGTGAGAACACAAAGAAGGTGCATGCTAATGAGCCACTGACCCAAAGGTAGCTAGGTTAAAGACCTTTCGGATTTGGGTAATCCGGGGAGTGGATAATTCTCCATTGTTAACTGACCAACTGGCAAGCCTGGGGAAAAGGGACTTAAAATACTGTAATACTAACAGTGTTAGACAACCAGATTTGCACTTTGCTAGGTGGAGGCTGCCTTCCTCACAAGTTTGAGAAAGAATTTAGGATCTAGAGCCCCTGTAAAATTACAAAGTGCAGGATCAACAGCTCATACTCCTGTATTTTAAAATATGTGGTCATGGCCTCCCTTCAGTTTTTTTTGTGGCACTGGTAAATTCTACCTGGTTCTGGCATGCTTCACTTTGATTTCCTGCTATCCTCTACTGCTTGCCTCTAAATCAAGGTAAAGAGCAGAGCAGGTATGTATCCCTGTCACATTGTCTTGATTATTTTATATACTTAAAATACACATTAAACCATGATGTTTTTGGTTTTGTAGGCAGTTTACACTTCAGTTCATAATTTGGTGAGAGTGACTTGGTGGGAGTGGGGCTTAAAGTGAAGATCAGAACAGCAGCATGATCTGTAGAAGCAGTGTGTTCCATGCAGCTTTAGAACTATGCAAGAATGTAATAACCAGGTTTTGTCTATGTAGCAGATGTATTTACATTGGATGTCAAAAGAAATAATATGGTATTTGATATAATTGCAGATAATTGTGATCTACATTTTAAAATATCAAGAGACCGCCTCAGTGCTTCTTCCCTCACTATGGAGAGTTTTGCTTTTCTTTGGGCTGGAGGAAGGGCATCTTACGGTGTGTCAAAAGGCAAAGTCTGTTTTGAGATGAAGGTAAATGCAGTTTTGTGATTTTTTTTTTTTTTTTTTTTTTTTAAGAACCTTGTGAGTTTCCATTTGCCTGACAAAAATGTCAGTGGAATTTATCTTTGAAGCTTCTGTGGATTAGAAGAGGGGCTTGGAAAACTTGTTTTATAACAGTTAACCGTATCTGTTAACATCAGAAATTTGTGTTGTAGAGTCAGCCTGTTTTTATTAGGGTGCTCCTTTTTTTATTAGGCACTTGAAAGGCCCACGAAGGGTTTAAAAAATAGTTTGGTTAGGCTTCAAGTTTTGTTCCAGAGCAAAACATGTTGAATGTATATTTTAATCAGATTTGAGTCGAGAATCTGTAATTTTTAAAACATTAACTGTTCTTTTAAATGTGAGTCAACCAAGGACTTGAACATTTTTAGTTCCAGGTTCCAGACTCCTCTGTCAGTTTTTGAAGTTCTTGTAAATGTAGGGAATAGATGGTTGGGTAGAATTGGGTGTCTTTGTATTAGTAATTAGAGAAGAATTAGCCCACTATCCAGATGAAAGGTTTATCTTCCTCGTAATCATTTATGATTTGATTTCCAGGTTACAGAGAAGATCCCAGTAAGGCATTTATATACAAAAGACATTGACATACATGAAGTTCGGATTGGCTGGTCACTAACCACAAGTGGAATGTTGCTTGGTAAAGTTCCCATTTGAGTAGTATGTGCTGATGCGTGTTTAGGGTCTGATTTAGTAGTTAGACTCCCAAGGCATTCTAAACCTTCTGCCTGTTTTTAATCCATTTTGTTAGTATTTTAGACATGAATGATACTAGTAGCTTGTAGGAGGTATCAGCTGACTTTCAGGTTTTTTTCCTTTATGATTACTTGTTTTATGATCAGTGGGTTAAAAGTCACTATCCCATGGTAATGAAGTTTTTCAAATAGTTACATAACCCGCCTGGCTCATTAATTTTTTTCATCTAGATAAAGTGTAAGTGGAAGAATGTTAAATTATATGCTCATTTCTCTTGATTCACTCCATCTTGAATGTTAAAATATGTGGGTCATTGGACTGTTTCAAACAATCGATTTCATGAAAATTATTTTCTTAGGTGAAGAAGAATTTTCTTATGGGTATTCTCTTAAAGGAATAAAAACATGCAACTGTGAGACTGAAGATTATGGAGAGAAATTTGATGAAAATGATGTGATTACATGTTTTGCAGTAAGTCGGCTAAATTTCTGTGTATAAGTTGAAATTATTAGTTAGGAATTTTTTTTTTTTAAGATTTTATTTATTTGACAGAGCGAGTGATCACAAGTAGGCAGACAGGCAGGCAGAGGGAGAGGGGAGAAGCAGGCTCCCTGCTGAGCAGTGGGCCAATATGGGACTTGATCCCAGGATCCTGGGATCGTGACCTGAGCCGAAGGCAGATGCGTAACTGACTGAGCTACCCAGGCGCCCCCAGCTAGGAATTTTTTTAAAGGTGTATCAGTGTTAGCCTTCAATATTAACCATCTTGACTGAAAACTACTCAACATGAAGTTGACCTGAAAATCTAGTCTGTTAAGGTGGCATTGTTTCTGCTTCTAGATACATGTGTTTCATTCTTTATAACTGTTATAAAGCTCCTTAACATTTAACCTAAATATGCTTCCCATAGGATAAGCTTCCTCATTTAAATTTTGAAGTTTTTTTGGAAGTTTTTTTTAGAAAAAGTTTATAGGACGCAGGTTAAAACAGTTAATTTTTTTCTGATTCAACAGAACTTTGAAAGTGATGAAGTAGAACTCTCCTATGCAAAGAATGGGCAAGATCTTGGCATTGCCTTCAAAATCAGTAAGGAAATTCTTGCTGGAAGGCCACTCTTTCCGCATGTTCTCTGTCACAACTGTGCAGTTGAATTTAATTTTGGTCAGAAGGAAAAGCCATATTTTCCGATACCGGAAGATTATACTTTTATCCAGAATGTCCCCTTAGAGGATCGAGTTAGAGGACCAAAGGGGCCTGAAGAGAAAAAAGATTGTGAGGTAAATGGTTTTTGTTTTTTTTCTTAGGCATTTGAAGATTACTTTTGTTTGGCAAAAATGACATTTGGAAGATCTGGATGATTGCTCTGTTTCATTCTGCTATGCCCATTGCTATCAGCCAGTGGTTTTTCTCTTAGTTAGCTGTGTTCTTTTATGTAGAGTGTTGAGTTTCCAGAAATTCCTTTGTTTTAAGGGCAATGAAAATTTATATATATGATCTAAACTGGGTTCTTGTGCATTTAAAAATGGGTAAGGAATTCTTAGGTGTCTCTAGTGATAGTGAAATACCATTCCTTTCCGTTACAGGTTGTTATGATGATTGGTTTGCCAGGAGCTGGGAAAACCACCTGGGTTACTAAACACGCAGCAGAGAATCCTGGTAAATACAACATTCTTGGAACAAACACCATAATGGATAAAATGATGGTAAGTAACATATTTAGGGTGTGATCTCAGCATTTAAAAAAGACCAGAAGTATCTTGCCAGTTGTCTTTATGCATTTTGTTAGTGTTTTAGAGATAGGAGTTTGTCAAAGTTAAATCGGGTACTTAAAGTAGAAGGACGTAAGGTAAACTACCTTTATGTGTAAGGTAAAGTGTCTCCCGGTGGCTAGGTTTTATTTTTTCTATAAGATTTTTTGAACTATCAACATTCAGTACCTAAAGAAGAAGTGAACAGCAGAGGATCTTATTACATGGTAAAGTGATCCTTTTCATAATGATAATGAGGAAAGGCAGGCAGTGTTTAAATTAGCAAATGTCTGGTTTCCACATAGATCTAAGCTGATAGTAGAAAAAATAGGTTTCACTTACAAGTTCAAAGGAACATTTTAACTTTTAAAACAGGTGGCAGGGTTTAAGAAGCAGATGGCTGATACTGGAAAACTGAACACACTGTTGCAGAGAGCTCCCCAATGTCTTGGAAAGTTTATTGAGATTGCTGCCCGTAAGAAGCGAAATTTCATTCTGGATCAGGTAAGCTGGAGCTTGGAGGTTGAAAAAGGAATGGATTGTTGGGTTTGGTGTGGAGCTAATATTTGGGTGTATAAACTTTGTTTTCAAGACAAACGTGTCTGCTGCTGCCCAGAGGAGAAAAATGTGCCTGTTTGCAGGCTTCCAACGAAAAGCTGTTGTAGTTTGCCCGAAAGATGAAGACTACAAGCAAAGAACACAGAAGAAAGCAGAAGTCGAGGGAAAAGACCTACCAGAACACGCAGTCCTCAAAATGAAAGGCATGGAACTTAATTCTATTACTGTGTTAAATCTTACGTGATTTATGTCTGTGAACTTGAATGAACATCATCTGCCAGCAATACTGTGTGACAGAGTCACGTTTGCTCTATATAAATGAATGTGTTTATTTCTGTTTCTTGGAAAACATCTTAGTAAACCAGGAGTAGACAGCATAGTGTGGTTTCAAAGAACGGCAGCCACTTGAGTTTAGGCTTCAGGGTTGTGGAGTCTTGGGATTTTAAGCTAATCTGACCTTATTCCTTGTAGGAAACTTCACGCTGCCCGAGGTAGCTGAGTGCTTTGATGAAATAACCTATGTTGAACTGCAGAAGGAGGAAGCCCAAAAACTTCTGGAGCAATATAAGGAAGAAAGCAAAAAGGCGCTTCCGCCAGAAAAGAAACAGAACACTGGCTCGAAGAAGAGCAATAAAAATAAGAGTGGCAAGAATCAGTTCAACAGAGGCGGCGGCCACAGAGGCCGTGGCGGCTTCAACATGCGCGGTGGCAACTTCCGAGGAGGAGGCAAGTTGGCTTGGAGTGTGGGCCTTGTTGGCTTCCGGGTGGAAACGAGTGATGAGAGTCTCGTCGTTTGGGGTCTGCATGTGGTTTAGCGGAGTTTGACCTAGGGCATTCGACTCGGGTTGATCCTGCTGCCCTAGGAACTGGTTGAAAATGTTGTGACTTGATAAACACACATAGGTTATGTGAGTGGTTAAATTAAACCTTGTGCTTGTCTTCGAAAGTGACTTTTTTCCTCCGATACAGGACTGGTCCGGAGGAACCTGTGGTCCCGTGAACACGCTGTTAAACTAACGCTCTCTTTGTAGCTCCTGGGAACCGCGGCGGCTATAACCGGAGGGGCAACATGCCCCAGAGAGGTGGCGGCGGCGGGGGCAGCGGCGGCATTGGCTACCCGTACCCTCGTGGCCCTGTGTTCCCCAGCCGAGGCGGCTACTCCAACAGAGGCAACTACAGCAGAGGTGGGATGCCCAACAGAGGGAACTACAACCAGGTGAGGATTGAAGTCCCTCCAGGCCTGCTGACTGTGGGACTCAGTCTGGGGGGTGGCAGGGGCTCGGCCCCAGCCTCAGTAAGAGTCAGAAGCGGCACGGTGACAGAAGAGAGGACGAGGCCCACTGAACTGCGATTTTCAGGTGAACTAGCGTTGAGTCAGGGGATGCCTTAGATGAATAAATTGTATGCCTGAGAACAAACCAGCAGAGTGTGCCCCGAGCTTCATGGTTTCTAGCAACCGATCCATTTCTGTGCTTCTGCCCCCCACGTACAAACCTCCTAACAAGCCGTGCTGAGTTCTCAAAGATGGCTTTTTCTCTCACCCCCTCCCTAGAACTTCAGAGGACGAGGAAACAATCGCGGCTACAAAAATCAATCTCAGGGCTACAACCAGTGGCAGCAGGGTGTAAGTAACTTCTTATGTGCTATGGACACTAATTGTATTTGAAGTTCCTAAGAAGCAGTCTTGAAAAACTTGTCCAGGGATTGGAGTGTTGATAAGTGTTCAGGGCAAGGTGTGAATATAGGTGGAGTTTGTTGTAATTTAACATTATATGATAAAATACTCTTTAATACAGATGGTTCTTTTTATTGTTAGCGTTAATTGTATAAACTAACCAAGTCACGATGTGTTTTCTTTTTGTAATGTGTTTATTGATAATAATGGGATATTAATACTAACTAAATCTGGTTTGGTAGAAATCAGAGGTATGACAGGTATAAATTTGTTTCCAGCAATTACTCTGAATTAGATTGTCATTTCCTAAAAGCAGTTTGAGTGGCTTATTGATGTTTTTTCTTTAAAAAAAAAATTTTCTCTTACAGCAATTCTGGGGTCAGAAGCCATGGAGTCAGCATTATCACCAAGGATATTATTGAATACCCAAATAAAACGAACTGATACATATTTCTCCAAAACCTTCACAAGAAGTCGACTGTTTTCTTTAGTAGGCTAACTTTTTAAACATTCCACAAGAGGAAGTGCCTGCGGGTTCCTTTTTTAGAAGCTTTGTGGGTTGATTTTTTTTCTTTTCTTTTTTGTACATTTTTAATTGCAGTTTTAAAGTGAATCGTAAGAGAACCTCAGCATTGTGCACGATAAGAGAATGTGTCAGTATTTCAGGGTTCTACATTTTATCTGTAAAATGTGACTTTTTTTTTTATCACAACAAAAGTAAAATGTTGCTTTGTACCTGGTGTCTTTTATTAAGAATTTACTCCCCCCATTTCTCACAGAGATAACAGTCGGGAGTCATTGTCACAATATAATAGAAATGTTAGCAACCAGATTCATGTAAGGACTAAGTAGTCCTCATGAATTGCATAAGACTCTGTACTGCTCATAGTACACTCCATCCTCTCTGTAGTTTGCTGAGTAGTGGAGGGGGAAGGCTTCAAGAGTAGTTTCCGACAATAACTGGGAAGGCTTTTTCTTTTTTTAAACAACAATGGAATTGGCATAATTGGGAATGAAGATAAAACTTGGAACCAAGATAGAGAAGATGGAGTGTATGTAGAAGGGCTGTTAAAAATGTAAAACTTGGTTGCATTATTTGTGGAGGCTCAAACTTGTGAAGGTTCAATACCATACTTTTTCCATTTGTTCTGCATTTTGATTCTGAAAAGAAAGCTGGCTTTGCCCATTTCTTATTAAAAAAACTTGTTGTAAATCCAGTTGTCTAATGGGATCTATATGAAGTTAGCTATGTCTGTATGCCCTTCTCCCACAAAATACTGTATAACTAGTGTGCTTGTAGTAGTTTACTCCACCATCTTTGTAAGCTAATGACATTGTGAGTCACCCATTTATATCTTAATTTTTAATCATGTCAGTTCTTGAATGGGTATCTCCTTAGCCTGCTGATTTCTTTTTCTTTCTAAAGAAAGTGGGTGGAGAAATTAATTTAGACGTTTGTTTGCAATAAAAAGAATTCATTTTACTCTCGTTTTGGGATTCTCGCCATCAAGGTTCAAAATCCCTTTATAAAACTCCCAAGAGGAGAAAATTTAAGTGTGTGCTTTCTGGACAGCTTATTCTTTACTCTGTACTTGGAACATTTAGGTTTTAAAAACTTAAATGTATACTGACAATTGACTTTGAATTATGAAGTAAAGTTGAATTCTTCCTTCCCCTCCCCCCCAGATGACTTAACATTTTAATGAGGGGAAATGGTGTACTGGCTGGGAGAAGTTAACACTCCGTTTACCATCTTTACCAAATGCTAATGGCTGTCCTCAACCGAGTATCTTATACGCACCTATCTAATACATGAAACTCTGGGAACAGATGCTTTTAGAAGCCATCATGCGAGCCAGTCGTTGATTTCACTACTGCACAACACTGCTAACTTAACGTAGTTATGTGACAACATTAGATCCCCTAATTGTAATTCTATTGGGTTTGCACAGAACACTTAATCTTAAAGGACCCTCACTGATGTGAAGTGAGGAATCAGGAGTCAAACTGTAGAACTAAAACTCGACTTCAGTCTAGTGTTTTGTTGGTGTTTTAGGTTGCTTCTGCTAAGTTTAGGTTTGTTTATATTTCTCTTTGCTTAGATTTTTGTTGTAGCCATTTTAAATCAGATCTTTAACTTCTTCATGCTCCTAGGAATTTTGCTACAAGCTGAGCTGGAGTTGAGTTTTAGATGGTGGTGTAGGTTTAGTTGATAAATTTTTGGAATAAAGGCTAATCCTGTAATTACCGTAAGGACACTTAACGGTACAAGGCAGTGTCTCAAGGGCTTTGGTTTTTAGCAGTTAGCTTACTGGTAGCAACTGCTGGCGTGAACTCTTTCTCGGTGTACCTTATAATTACGAGGATTGCATAGACGTGGGGGAAAAGTTCAGCCTTTGTTGCTAATCAGTGTTTTAGGTACCTTTGAAGAGTCTTGGATCTATTTTCTAGTTTAAAATTGCTTACTTACAGAATTCATATTCTAATAATCGCAGTGGGAGAGAGTAATGGCCAAATAACACGTTGGTAGACTGTCATGCCTTGTGTAGCCCAGAAAATTTTGGGAAGAATGGTGAATAGATGGGAGATACTGTCCAGGAAAACATTAAAATTTCCAGAAGCAGTCTAAAGATAGAATTAATATGTATGGAAAGAAATAATCTTAGTGTTTTAAGAAATTCAGAAGAAGGGAGTGTAGCAGATAGCAACCAAGCAAAAGGGAGAAAAATGAGGAATGCCATTTAGCAGAGTAAGATCTGTCAATGAGAAACTTGGTTTAGTCTTTGCCCCTCCTCTTGCCTGCCTCTCGCCTGCCTCTCTGTGGCAAGCAGAACACCAGATAAACTAAAGACGTGGTTCTGAGCACGTCTCAGCTATGCCCATGAGACTGCAGTTGCTTTGAGTGGTGCTTTCCCCAGAAAGTTTTGCAGGGAGTCGAACCGACCATCCTGAGTCAGGTGTTGGGTCAGATTGGTCAGCTACAGTCCGGTGCAAACAGCATGAATAGGTTAACCAGGAAAGAAGGCAAAACACTGCAAGATAGAAATGAAGTAACCCATGCTGTCCCATAGAACATTTTCTTTGTTGCTGGTAGGTTACATCTTGTCACTCTTGTCTGGCCTTTGACAGAGGGCTCTGGCTTGGACTGAGGAGGCCAGGACTAACCTCTGGCCCTGATACCCAGGTCTGTCACATTGTCACAGTAAGGTGAAATCTTAGAATGAAGCATGAGTCAAGTCAGTCTGACATTGAAATGACGAAGCCATATTAAATGCACAAAAGAAGAAGCTCACATTTGCCTAGGATAGATCCTGTCCAACGATAAGGACAATGAAACTAGAGGTCCTGAGCACTAATGAGGTGTTGAAGCTTTTTAAAAGAGTGTTTTCTTTGAAAAAGTACTTAAAATTTTTCCAGGAAAGTATTGTTTTTCACCTTCTGGAGAGTTTACATTCATGGACAGATTACGTTCTGTAATGTTTGCATCAGTTTGAGTTGAATTTATTTTCTATAAGGTTAATATAAATTGGCTTTTTATCCTAGGATCATTTAAGTCCCATCGCACAAATAAAAATGAAGTATTTCATAGCTTTTTAAGCAGTGGTATAGACTTGTCACGTACAAAGACCTGATGATAGGTCTATGGGAGTCTATCTGATACTTTTAAAAAGCTGAAACCAGAATAAGCTTCTACTGAGGAAGGCGTAAACCTATCTTTCATAGCCCGAGTCTTAGTTTCTGATATTAAACATACATGTGCATCTTAAAAACGTTTCCATAATTCCCTCTTCACATGTAACTATAAAATGTGTTTTAGAAAGTGGGTGGAACTTGTAGCAGAAAATGATTCTCCGCTCCCACCCCCCAGAATATTCCGTGAGCTACTGTGGAAAGATGAATACGATATTTTTTGTAAAGCCATTTTCTCCTAAATTTTTTTAAATGGTTTGAATCTAAACTTTGTTGTTCATGTTTCTGGGGCTCTGAGAGAAACTTGGTTTCAGTTTTAACGTTTTCAGTAATAGTAAAAGCAAGGATATGTAGTGTCCCGGCCTTGGCAATAGGTTGCAGTAGTTACGCACAAGCGTTAAAGGATATTAAGTTAGGGCTTTGAGAATCACCTGCATTTGCTCTCTCTAAACAGCAATTTGGATTTATTAGTCATTGGAGAGCAGTCTCTTCGAATCGTTAATTGCCTAAACTTACTTAAAACTACAGTGCCCTTTTGATACGTGGAACCTTTTGTTGGGATGATTTTTAGATTTGAATCTTTTTAGCCCTACTGTTGTTCAGCTGCTTCACTAACCTTTACTAACCTTGATATTTAAAATAAACCCTTCAGAACTATTTTGGAAGTGACCTAAAAGTGTGCTGATGTGGGGTAGGACAAAAAACCCAGGATCCCCAGTATCTTAACATTCCAAAGTTTTTGTGTATGTGAAGTCAAATAGTTGAAATAACCTACCTTAATAGTATATTTTTACTATGTTTTGCTAAAAACATGCTATTTTACTTGGTGGTCACACTTTGTTGATTTTAACATGTGGGCAGCTGGAGCCCCCCAAAATAAGAGTGCTTTAGATAGGTGGGAAGTAAGGATGTACTGTCCCATTCTAACCAGTTGACTAAAAATATAGGTGATTGAATATATTTATTTAATTAGGTTGTCTAAGGAACTTAATTTAGTCTGTAAGGCTTAGTAGATTGTAAAACATATTCATAACGTTAACCTAGAATTATTTTTAAAATGTGACACCTCTGTATCTCAGGTTACGTTGGGGATGTGCTGTCCATGTGGAAAGCTGAAGAAGGACAGGTTTTTGGCATGATGTAGATAAGTGGGGAATTTCAGCTGTGATTGTAGATCAGTATTTGTAAGGGAACAAATAGATAAACTGCTAGGCCAGCACATCCGTAATCACTGGTTAGGTAAGTTATTGAGACAAGGACCTTAACTATGTGCTTAAATTTGTATTAGTTATTGCCTGGGAATATTACAATTGTTTTCTCCCTTCTCATGCCAGGATTCAACATACACTTGAATCTTGACAAGGAACCAGGGGTTTTGCTTTTAGACAAAACTGGATCTTTGGGTATGAGAAACAATATTCTATAGTCGAAGGTGTAGTGATAATACCGTCTAGGTAAATAGAGCACTGTCTTGACGGAGAAGTGGGCTATTTGCTGCCCCGTTAGCGAGTGCGTTGTGCACCCATGGTGTAGCTCGGCCTGCGCTGCTGGCAGTTTTGCAGGGATGAGAGGCTAGAGAGCCAACCTGTCTAATAAACGTGGAGCTGTGGCTGATGGCATGTGCTTTCCTGCCATTTCTGTAACAGTCCGTGACCTTAGAGGAAGTCAGGTCAGCTTTGTACAGTAAAATATCCTGTACTTGCCAAGCACTTGAGAAGCAGATCCACAAATTCGCATCCGCGAAAAAATTAAAAGCCAAGAATGATGAGATGAGCAGTATAGTCCGCTAACCTGTGATGTAAAAGCTTTGAAGAATTAGGGCATGCAGAGAGAAGGAGAGGTAAAATCCATACTTCTGAAGAATGGTTGGGGTTTACTGAATGGCAAGTAACAGGTAGCTATTAATAGAAGGTATCCTTTCGGTTGTCTGTAGTTTAAGGGAGTGGGAGCATCGTGGTCAAGTACAGTAAAAGGTTCCAACTTAATATATATATTTTTAAAGTAATAAAGCAAAAAAAAAATGCTGATTTAAATTTCATCTCCTTTTCCTTAGTCTGTCCATGTGAATGTGCTGTGTGGAAGAGTAAAAGGGCCCAACTAAATGTGTTCCAGTGATTCCAATAGGTATTCCAAATTAATTGCTGCTTGTACATTTAACACTTGTTATATTGGGCTTCCAGGATCACCTTAATTAGAACTCCCTTATTTAAAAGGATGGGAAAAGGAAATAACTGGTAACCCAGATTGGGTATATTGTATAAACAGGAAAAAAAAGGTTTTCTAACTTTCATTTGCATACCTGAAATGTGAAGTAGTTGGTGGTGTAATGTTAAGCAGTTGGCGGTCCTCTTGCCTAGGTTTAAGACTGTATGCAAAAGGAGCCGAATCCTTGTAAAAGGTTCTAATGGTTCAAATTCCTTGTTTTAACTTTTTGTGAGACACTCGTTTTAATACTTCCCACTTGCAGAGCTTAAATACTTTAAATATTTTAATGCAGAAAAATGAGTCTAGGATACCTGTGTC